ATCCTGTTCAGACACTGGAACTCCTCCACACTGCGGCAGCCCTGCAAGGACGTGCTGGTGTGGGGAGTGGAGCCACACCCGACCAGGCCCCTGCACACCCACAGTGCAGGCTTAGGGAAGCAGGCCCCCGCCCTGCCAGCAGCTTTCCCAGCTGGTACCAAGGAGACCCAGGCCCGGGTGCTGTCCCGCACCTCAGGGCACCTTGTCCTCCCAAGAGCCTCAGCACTGTCCACCGCCCACTGACATCTGCTACAGAGAGCGTGCAGGCCTGTGTGGGGCAGGTGATGAGGCAGCCTTGGCATTCAAGGCCACACAAGGGCGGACCCAGCAGTGTCTCCTTGTGCCCAGAATGCTTCCCTGTGCTGCTGTGGCTAGCGTCACAGGAGCTGAGGGCCCGGCCTGCCCTCACAGGGAGTGGCACCACCAGGTGGGGCCTGGCCCCGGGCGGGAGCGGGGCCTCACCTGCAGGGCCGGCAGGTACTTGGGCAGCTCCTGCTTGAGCTCAATGGGCGACAGGGCTGGGGAGTCAGGCACGTAGTCCCCTTCAGTTGGGGCGCTGCTCTGTGGGGTCCCCTCACCCACTTCTTCCTCCCCTTCTTCACTGTCCCCCGAGTCTCGGTCAAATCTCGACTCTGGAACTTTAACAGATAAACCTAATTATGGAACTGGGAACAAGCAGGGGAACCTGGGTGCCTGGCAGTGCCACGAGTCTTGCGCCCTCCACGTGAGGGGCTGGCACTGGGACTGGCCCTGAACAAGGGTGCAAGGTCTAAGGTCCCAGCCGGCTCGGCTGAGTCCGAGAACAGGGACAGGGGCTGTGCGAGGTGGCCATGCTTAGAATTCATGCTTCCAGGCCCCGGGGACAAAGCTCGGCCGCTTGCTCCCTGTCCGTGGTGGCCGTGGCTGTGGCCCCAGGACCTGCTGTCCAGCGCAGCCCTCTTCCCCTGGGAAGCAGATGTGGGTGCCCTTTCCCAGCCTCCCTGTGTTTATCACGCAGGCACCCAGAGCGGGGCCGCTCAGCACAGCTAAATGATCAGGCCCCCGCGGGCACCGACTGCGTGTGGCCGGTGGTGTGG